ATGTAAATTAACTAAAATAGAGATAGAACAACCAAACCTTTCCATTTCCTCTTTGAAAAACAAAAACCCCCCATAAATGTAAATGTTCAAGACATAAACAGATCACAGGTCTGTGAGTGTTTGTTTGTCTTGTCTGCTGATGGAGCTTCTCATGATAACACACACATTCACAGATAAAAGAGTTACCGACTTATCTGTGGTATGTTAAATAGACTGCTGATTCCTGCTGTGTTCACATCTAATGATCACAGATCAGTCTGATCAGATACAGAGCAGTGTGTGTATGTGTGTGTGTGTGTGTGTGTGTGTGTGTGTGTGTGTGTGTGTGTGTGTGTGTGTGTGTGTGTGTGTGTGTGTGGGCTGTACAGGACGAGAGAGGGAGATGATGAAGGAGGTGGGCGTGGCTGCTGACATTACTGAAAATGGAAGGAAATGACACACATACATACACACACACACAAACACACACACCGCGTCTGAGGATACAAACTGTTTAAAATTCACCCTCAAGTTTACTTGAATTAAACCTTTACTCTCAGTGCTTTTGAAGAAAATAGTTTTCTCAGATTGAAGTTCAACTTAACCAAACCTGCCCCCAACAATCGCATTCCCGTACAACTGAGCAGGATTGTGTCCCAGATCATTTTTGCAGTTTAAAATATGTGGTCATCTTTCTGCAAAATTACGTTGTTATATTTAGTAATAGATAATTGTTTGGCCTAAAATACTGTACATATGTTTGCTACGTTACGTTTAGAAAGGTAACATTGACTTTTTTGTTTTACGATAAAAACACCAGTCTTTTGGGTGAAAGTCGCTAGTTTATCCGGCCCATCCGTCAACCTTGACCAAAAAGGTCAAGTCACTACACAATGCTAGTTTCCCCTCCGTGGGATGAATAAAGGTATTTGGATTCTGATTATAAATAAACTCAAATAAGAGTACAAGTAAACCTGAAAAAAACAATCTAGTCCTCGAAACCAGGCTGGAGGACCGGGCTTGTTTTAGGAGTCATTGGAGTCCCACAACACTAGAAACAGTGAAATTCAGCCATGCTTCAAAGCTCAAGGAGATAAAAACCTTTTCTCTTTTGTGGGATTATGTTATACTTTAACAGAGGAGGTGAAATAAAAATGAATGGTTCAGCAGAGCTAATAAGCTACGATAACTTCCTCTGGTTTAAACTCTCAGTTCCCTTAATTATGAGCTCACTTTTGGTCAATGCTGAACATTTACGTGTCAAAGTTCACCCGAGTTGAACTCTTCACACTGTCAGATTCACTTCACCTTTGTAAAGGAGAGATAAGATAACAAACAATCGGCATGCTTTCACTTGGTTTAACTAAATCAACATTTTTTTTTTTGCAGATTGTTGAGACATCACAATGAAAGCGAGCACATCTATCTGAAAAATCTGTATTAAGTCCTCATAATGCGTGAAAACTGTGTCCACACAACTACAGTAAGCACAGTAGGACAAAGTTGAAACAGGAAGTTGGTGTGTGAACTGTAATGGGTGTTTCTCCAGATATTTTAGGTCATATTTACTCTTCTCAATATCTTGGACGTTTTTTAACAGTCTCATCTGAGTGTTTCTTAAATCGGAAAAATTACGATAACAGTACAGTATTATTGATAAAAAGAATATGGGCAAAATTATGAAAATAAAACCCATGTTATAATACACATAATTATCCTTTAAATCCAACTAGATGTCAAAAGTTTTTTATAATGTCCATTTAAAATGACTACGATTTAGTTCTACTCAATACAGTCATTCTCATTTTATTAAAAACATTTATATGGCATACATTAAAATTGATGGCAGTGTGTTCTCCTAGCAACGCTGCTAAACAGACGTACTTTACAAATACAGAGCAGAACCGGTCTGATTTGAAACATAAGGATGGACACACACACACTCACTCAGCACTGTGAAGCTCGTTGTGTCTACAGCCTTATATGGAGATGTTCCTGTGGGTGAGGTCACTGACAGTTAGCCGTGACTCCACACACACACACACACACACACACACACACACACACACACACACACACACACACACACACACACACACACACACACACACACACACACACACACACATGAATGTAGGTCACTGATATAAACTGTAAATCACAGAGGACTGTAAATATTTTAGCAGTGATGTGCAGTGACACACACACACACACACACACAGAGATGCACACACACACACACACAGAGACCCCCTGGGGGAGGGAGGGAGAGTCTGAACAGCTTGTGACGTCTCCAGGCCATGGTAACGTCCGCTAATTGGTTCCATCAGGCCTCAGTGTGGTGTGTGTGTGTGTGTGTGTGTGTGTGTGTGTGTGTGTGTGTGTGTGTGTGTGTGTGTGTGTGTGTGTGTGTGTGTGTGTGTGTGTGTATGTGTGATGTTGTCATTGCAATAGTTATTTGGACTATCTCAAAGTCACTATTACTCACAGTCTGCAGGAATGTTTTTTGTCAGTTTTAAACTAATTTCTTCCATCTCCTTCCAAAAAACAGACTCAAACCGCGTTGATACTCATTTGTTGTGGACAGGAAGAAGAACACGAAAGAGCAAACAAGAAGACGACAACATGCAGCCAAAGTGTCGGAGGTTGAGAGATGACACAATGTCCTGACGTCCTTAAGGATGTGTTACCTCACCAACACTCAACTAACAGCAACTTGGGAAAGATCCAAAGGGAAGTCAAAAAATTACCACAGAGATCCAGTGACAACACCAGATAAAATACTGCAATATTTTACTGAAGTAAAAGGTGGCAATACCGCAAGTCTACTGTGTAGATATACAGTTCGGTCAAAGTCATGCATTCAAAGTTTTACTTGTGTAAACATATCAAAGTATAACATAAAAATGGGACAAAAGGTTCAATATTGTTTTTTATAATAACTGACACATACAGTACGTTTCACGGTGTGTTTAAAGATAAAATAATCATTGCAACTGGTAAAGTTGGGGCACATTTTTACAACCTAAAGCTTAATCTATAATAATGTATTGAAAACACATTTTTTGCATTGCTAATCGAAGAAGAAGTTAACGGTAGAGTAAAAAAGTGCAACATTTCCTTTTTAAAATGTTAACAAGAGTATTTGAGTAAATGTAATATGTTACTTTCCACCACAAGTGAAACTTTGAAGAGGCAAGTCTTTCCGGAGACTCAGCCACAAAAGAGTAAAAGGATTCTAGGAAATATGGTATAGGTTGAAGCTAAAACTAGCTGGTTAGCTTAGCTTAGCGTGAGTACTGGAGACAGGGGAAAACAGCTGTGGTGCTGAGAAGGTCCACAATAAAGTATGTTATCTGACCGTATACGTGAGGGTCCACATGGACATTCTGCAGACGTCTGCAAATGTTATCGACCGTGCAGACTTTACACACAGCACATGTGAACATGTCTGCAGCATAAACAGAGAATATCAGAGAGACAAGGACTGCAGTGTTAGAGGACTGCATGTAACAGACTGAGCGGAAACATGGAAAAAATGCCCAAAATAGATATATTAAAAAAAGAAGGTTAAAAATGTCTGGGACTTCTCATCCGTCAGGAGAACTGAGGATGCCTCTCAGAAGAGAAAAGAAACATCTTCAAACTGAGCTGCATGTTGATGCTTTTAGATTTTCTCTAACCAGAGTAGACCGAAAGAAAAACCTTCTTCTGTTTTCTGAAGACTGAAAACTGATCACAGAGTTACGCAAAAGGTGTCCCAACTGTGAATCTTAACGTAAATAAACTCGGTCCAGTGAACTGGATTAGAGTTCACATCGACAGTCTGTCTTATTTCAAATAAAACAGTAATTAATGATACAAATCAAGAAGACTGTTTACTGTGTATTTGCAGCCATATGTTAAATTAGTAATGAGCTACAGGCCTGCAGCAGTTAGACTGTGTGTGAGTATGTGTGTCTGTGTGTGTGTGAGTTGTCCCACAGGCAACACAAGCTGTTACTAAAGAAAATGCCTTCGGACACACAGACGGGCTGCTGACGGAGGAAATGACTCTACACAGAGTAGCTGCAATCCAGATTCACAAAAAAATGTGATTCAAAAATTAGATTTAGATAGGTCACATTACTCGGAACACTCACAGCATGTACGCGTTTATCCAAGTCCACCATCCAGCTTTTCTAAGTGTTAGAAGGGGAACAGTCCATCTCTGTCCATCTGAAAATCTGAGGGGTTCAGTTTATGATGCTTCAAACTAAATCCTATTCTCCAGACATTGACTTTGTAACATTGCTGTGCTCTATCAGTTAAAGGGATATATGTTCACCATTCAGCCATTATGTGCCTGTAAGGTAATGTAACAGATGCAACAGGAGAGGACATTTAGGATCTGTAACAACATTTGGGAGTAAAACGGTTTTAACCAAGCCCTTCAACTTAAACGACAAACTTCTATGTGCCGTTCAAAACTACATAAAGCCATTTTCTGGTTTACCTTGTCAGCAGGATAACAATCTCGGATATTTAAACAGGCAAAATAATTTGCTTTCTAATAACATTAAACAATAAAATGAAGGAGAAAATGAATCAGTGGATTCTCTGTGAGAGCCAGGGGAGCGCATGCATGCTCACAATGTCAAAGATTAAGGCTACAATAGCAAATATGTTTTAAATTCATCATGAATGCAGTGAACATTATAAACTTCCCGCCTTTTTTTATTATTGTACTATTAAACCAAGCTGAATTTATCTCATGCACCATGCTGCATTTTCGGTCAGTGTGCTTTCACATCTAGTCATTTCTTTAAAGGATGGATAAGACAAGCAATATATTCCCTGTCTAAAGAGGATTTAGGATTTGATTCGTGCCTATAATGTAAGAGTAACTTTGGTTTTATTCGGACATGACACCAACATGTAAAATCATGTCATTACAATTACATTAGGAGGTCCATGTCTGAAAGCAGCATACATTTTTTTATAAATATAAAAATTCTTAATTTTAACAACCTTTCGTTAGTGTGAACAGCTAAAGTACAATGGAGTCTGTCCTCAGGTTTGTGTTCAGTGCTTTATTGTCAGGAGGAGCAGACAGTGGTTCCTTCACACTTAACTAAACGCAGCTGGATGAATCCTTCCGTGTGCGGCTGGTGTGGAGCAGCTCCAACCTGTAACAACACATCAGAGCACAAGAGATGTGATTAGTCAGCTGGGACTGCTCGTGTTTCCTGCTCCACGTTTCTGACCATGAAAGATTTTAAACTGTGAAGACAATGCGAAGCCCTCCAGAAAAAGAAAAAAAATGGTTTAACTACACAGTGTCCCACATTGGAAAGACCTTTCTCTTCACTCGGGCACTTTCTTAAATAAACAGGACGTATTTGTACAGTATGTCTGCTTGTATGTACAGTATGTGTTCTTTTGTGTGTGTATGCATTATTCTCTGTTTATTTGTAAATCTTTGCTGTTTTATGTTGTTTCTATGTACTTCTGAATAATGCAATCTGAACCGCTTTTGTATGATATGGTGCTATACAATATGAATTGAAATATAAAAAATTACAAAGTAAAAAAAATGACATTAAAAGTTAACTTGATAACATTTTTTTTAAATAGATATGTTTTTGGTAATTGATGACATTTTTGTGCATTACTTATTTATTCAAGGTTGGCCATTTTGCTCCCATAAAAAACTATAACAAATATTTCCCTGAACCTTCCTCTCATTGTGATCGTCCTTATTATCCACACAGTGATAAAAGAATGTAAACAGGATTACTTTGGATAAACAACATGGCCCAATAATGTGAACGTTGATCAGACGAGGGTTGCACAGAAACGATGCTTCACTTTACAAGAGGAGAGCACCCATATTAGCCGCTTCCTGTCCTATATTCCTTCATGATGATGTCATATCCTGTCTAGAACAAGAGCCATTGTTTGTCCCCAGGAAGTGAACTTCCCGCCGACGGTTGTTCTTCCATCCGCGGGTCAGTCATTGCAGGCGTGTTTCTCCTACCATGAATATGCTACTCATGCAGGGTGCAAGAGACACAATATGATACATAAATGTCTCAGTCGGTAACGATATGATACCGTGCGACACACAGCCCAAGTGGCATCCTATTTTTGGGCTGTTCCTTTAGTAACTGACTCAAAGCAGGTAGAACAGTTGCACAGCTGTGTAATGTTTGAGAAACTTTTTTCAAAGTTTTACTTAGCAATCTACTAATGCACTACGAATGCTGGACCCTTATAGCGACACATCAATCATTACATTATGTTACATGTAATATTGCATTACATGCTTTTATCCAAAGCGACTTACATACTCAATACTGTGAGCAATCCCCACAGGAGCAATTTGGGGTGAAGTGTCTTGCCCAGGGACACAACGACATGGGTTTGCACTAGTCCACTGCGCCACACGCCTCCAATCAACACTTAAGGTTTCTCCAGACGCGAACAGGGACCGGATGGGACTGAACAACAGCCCCAGACTCTGACTCAGCCCAGCCCACAACAATTGATGCCTTCCATGAAAAGGCAAGAGCCAGCAGCAGTGTCACAATGTTTTGATCTTAACTCAGAATATTATCAATGATATATTTTCTTGATGTGTAAGCAACAACGGTTTGCATCAGAGCTGTCTCCCTATGACACGTGTCAATGTGCAACTTTCATGATGTTTAATCAAAATTAAAAATTAAAATGATAAATGATGTGCCAGTTGTTCTGTGATTCTCCAGAACACACAGGTGGCCAGTCGGCCCCTGAATGCAAGTCAGACATTTTGGCAGCCAAGGCAAATGATTTTCACAGACTCTGCATGCAGGAGACCAACATCGGCCCTGCACAACATCGATCTTTAATCCTGAGAATTACGCCAGTCACAAAAAGGGTTTAAGTTGTTTATTTTCACAGTCTGGATAGTCAGACTTTGAACCCCAAGACTCATTGATATATAAAAGAAGAACATTTTAAATACTTCAATCATCATAAACTCAAATGGCAGCGATAAAAGACGTCAGTCGACATTGGAAACAATGGAGGGAGCGGCCGCCACCGCTGGCCGTCTAATAGACAAAACATTCCCCTGTCTACACATCAAATCCTTTTAAAAACAGTGAAGGAAGGATGTATATAATATATTTAAAGTACTTACACAAAGCTTTGAAATTACAATTAAAGTTACAAGTAAAAGTAGGATAAATATAACTCCTACACATTGCTTGTATTATCCAACCAACCTCTACTTTTTATTAAGTTGAGAAAAAGCAGAAATCCTGAAATGTGTGAAGCTGGCTTCATCTCCATAGCTTTTTCAGTGCATCCCTTTTGTTCTATTATGGTTTGTATAATGAACGTATTGTTTGCTTGTTCCACAGTCCCAGACAATGATGATCATATGACTCCTATGTCTTCAGATCCTGTTGTCTCCCTGACTTGTTTATGTGTTCATTAATTTGTTCACGGATCTGGTGTGAAATCAAAGTGTGAAATCATGTCTTCTGTTGCGTCAGACGCTTAAATGAACACTGTGGACTGCTAACATGCAGCTGCATTAAGCTAATGAGCGTCAATTAATTGTGTTAATGAGCTGCAGTGAAGATCTCTCCTGGAGGGAAACTGATACCCTGTTAACGAGCTGAAGGGGGGGAGACCATCAGATCGGCTAAAAACAGTCGTTAGAGCCGGAGTGTGTGCGTGTGAGTGTGTGTGTGAAGAGGGGGGCTTCCTCCTGAATTGTATCTCTCTGTGGCCCTGACATGCTTATCTCTGACAAGTGAACACACACACAAGACCTTGTCCCAGTGTGTGTGCGTGTGTGTGTGTGTGTGTGTGTGTGTGTGTGTGTGTGTGTGTGTGTGTGTGTGTGTGTGTGTGTGTGTGTGTGTGTGTGTGTGTTGGATCCAGCTGTGGCTTCATATCAGTGACCTCCTGTGGTCCATGTGTGGGTGTGTTTGGGGGAAGGAAGCTATAACTGGTTCACACTAATATCAGCCCTAATGAAGCTCCTGTGTGTGTGTGTGTGTGTGTGTGTGTGTGTGTGTGTGTGTGTGTGTGTGTGTGTGTGTGTGTGTGTGTGTGTGTGTGTGTGTGTGTGTGTGTGTGTGTGTGTGTGTGTAAGCATGAGCTCAGCCTCAAACGGGAAGATGGAGGACACCCATCTCTGTGTGCAATGCCGCAGTTGTAGGAAGCAGGACTCATGTCCGTCAGCAGCAAAATAAGAAGTTGGGTGACAATATTATAGAAAGAGGGAGGTTCGTGTGGCCTAATGGGAAAAACATCAAACATTAAGAGATGACGCCACCACTGTCCCCTGAACTAAACAAAAAATGCACGATTGCATCCCAAACCAAGATCTTTTCCAAAACCTAACCAAGAAGTTGGACTTTTTTCACAGGAAAACAGTAAAAAACGAAAGGTTTGTTTCCTAAATAGCAATGGTTTTTATTCAGTCTGTAGGTTTAGAGAAAGTACATTTGAGATTTAACTGTTCAACAGTATTTACAGAGATAATGGTTACTTACGGGGGATTTTATTAGGAAAATGGCACATGCAACACCGTTGTTCTGAAGATCGAGTAATGTTAGTTAAGTTAGTAGTACAATGATAATATGCAACCATAACTGTAGTAGTTAATGTAAGGTGCCCAATATTTACAAAACTAAATTGATAATTATTTGTTTAGCCTTTCTTGTTATATCGATAATGGTTACTCCTTTGTTCCAAATAGACTTGTTTTCTTCCTCTGAAATGACATTGAAGTACCAGTAGGAACCAGAAGGTATCTTATCGGGGCTTAATTCATACAACTGTAAATCACATTCAGTTTAATAAAGTGTTCCCGACACACAGTTTGAACGACATTTTGACCAATATGTTAATTAAAAAGAGTACAGGATGTTAATTAAAGTGAGAGAATAATGCTCCGTCAGCATCATTACACAGTGTGTAGGAAACCATGCCTGTGTGTAATGAAGCACGAGAGGCGTGTGCATCAAATGACATACTGTGAAGAGCTATGATGGAACAATTAAAACAAATTTGACCTTCATTTTGACAAATCAGACGTTCTTTTCACCGACTGGGGGCCTCTTTTATTCATACATCCTAAACCCTTATCGGGATGGAAACTGATGATGTCAGCGTTAAGACAGAGGCAGCAGTGTGAGGTATTTGACTGCAAAACACACACTGTCACACACACATACATTGACAGCTGTGTTCTCTCCCACTGCTCTTCGACTGGTTTCCAACTGTTGATGATTCATTAACAGACTCTGTCGAAAGTGAAGCTCATTTCCTCCTGACGAGATGCTTTGAGTTAAGACTGTTTTTTTAACATCTGTCCTCTAAATTGTGTCTCGTTATGCTTTGATACACAGTGTCATCGAAGAAACTCGGATGTAGTTCATCATGAAAACAGATCGACACAAAAAGGAAGCGACAAAACTGGGTTTTTTTGTGGCACATGCCACTACTGTCCAGTTCATGCTCATGAAACATGGTGGCTTACCTTAACCCAATATAAGCACAATAGAAGTGTTACATAGTGATGTCATTTTGTTACAGAAGTAAACAGTGGAAAATAAACTCCCTCTGACGTGAACTTTGGTGTTTGCAGACCATTTTCATGCACAAAATCCAAAATAAAACACTGCAGGAAAGGTTAGAAAACCCAATTAAGAAAATAGGGCCCCTTTAAAATGTGTTTTGATGCTTTAAAAGCTACAAAAATACCTATTTTTCCTCAATCTGTGCACCTGAATGTACCTGTAGAACAAGATGCGTCAGTGTTATTTGCAATTAATAGATTTATTTGAGACCTTGGACATCTCTTACACTTAATCGTCATTTGATTATGAGCCAGACCAGATTGTTTGTCACTTTGTTTGATAATATTGTCGTCTAAATCAGAGACCAAATCAGTCCGACTGCTAATGTGTGCGTGGTCATTCAGAACACATCTTCCTGTCATGTGTCCAACTTACCTCTCTGGCTTTCTAGTTAGAGCGGAGCACGACTCCTGACTTTTCCGTGTGTTTTATTTTTATTTTGTTTTTAAGATATATCTGTTGTAATTTATTGTCGTTTATTGTGAATGTAGTAATGTGTTTTTATTACATGTACAGCACTTTGGCTCGACCAAACATCGCTTTTAAATGTGCTATATAAATAAAACCTGATTTGATTTGATTTGATTTTACCTCCAGGACTTTAAACCCATGAGTGAAGACTGACTGTACTTCACCTCTTACTACTGTTTGTCCTTGTGTGATTCTGTAAATGCCCAAGAATCACAGAATCACATGGTGACCTGAATGCACCCTGGCCGTCACAAGGCGCACACACACAAACACACACTTTTATTGCCTCAGCATGATGATGTCGGTGCATAAAAACTCTTTGGTCCAGAACATCTACTGATGAGGTTTTCATGGAAATGAATGATAATATTGTTGCTTTCAAGAACACTTTTCAATGGACTGCCATAACATTTAGTTTAGGGATTCTTGTTCCCAAATTGATGAAATTTGATAACTTTGATGAGTGTCTGTCTTTTGGTCATAATCGGGTCAACATTTTTATATTTCCCATATTATTGTTTATTTATCAAATACCAACAAAACTAATGACATTACCATGACTCAGTGGAAATGATCAAATGTAAGCATGCTAAGCAAAGAGTATAACCATAGTAAGCATCACTTCTGCTAAACATAAGCATGTGAACATGTAGCCATAACAATAACTGTATTGTCCATCACATAATGATACAAATTATCTTGGGTTAAAGTCTCTCGTAACTTAAATGAAAAACACAAACCATGTGATGCAAAGCTGCATTCAGAAGGAGTGACTGTCTATTTGACCTTTAACAAAAATGAATAGTGCAGATGGAAGGTTGTTTGCACTGCGGCAGCCTGGTAGGAGTGGTGAGAGGCTGTGAAGGGTCCTTAATGAACACATGAAGATTGTCTGAGGGTTGGGTTGGAGTGGTACAGGGGATTTTGGTTGCATGGTTGATGACTCATGAAAGGTTTTTTGTTTTGTACTTTGTGAGAAAGTTGAAATGTATGATGCGAGGATTATTTGATTAAAAAATGGATATACTGCTATTAAGATGTCTTCTACCATTCTAGCTTTACAATGTTAAAACCTTCTTAGGAAAACATGCATTGTTGGTTCTTCTTTTAGACCCAGTGTTGTGTGAAGGACAAGTTGTGTTGATTTTAGTGTCCAGGTACTTAAAGATCTTGACTTCTTCGACCCCCTGCCCCTCCAGCCTGAGTGGTCCGACTCAAGCTTTTAGCTCAAAGTGCCGCTATGCATCAGTTCAGCCTCACAGAGCCGTTTGTGTGGCCTAAACTCCAAAAGGAGCCAATATAATCCAACAGAGCTGATGTCATATAGCTTTGGAAACCCCCTTTCCCACCCACACCACGTCAGATTTGAGGATGGGGGGCTGCATTGAATAGTTTAAGTAACTTTCCAAAGTAAACACCCGTTTACAATCAGCAAGATATCAAGTTCTTATTATAAAGAAAGTTTTCCAAAGAACACTCTAAGAAATGTGTCTGTGGTTGGAAAAAAATGACACACTGACTAACTTCCTCCTACTGATGATTTCACATGTAAATACCTTTGTAGCCATGGCGACTGCGATGGATTTCCTCTTTTCTGTTGGACAGCGAGGGACTCTCTAGTTGCTGAGGAAGGCTTTAGCACCCGTTGCCCCCGGCGACAGATGTTGGCTCATCCTCCGTTTCCGTCTCTCCCTGTTCCCCTCGTCACAGGAAGTTCACCTCTGTCAAGGCCTCGCCTGGTGGAAGTGACATCAAAATAAGAGCACTGAAGGCTGACTGCCTGTCAAAATAAGAGTATAAGTCCTTCACCCCTGTCAGAGTGAATAATAACATCCTACACACACGTACACACACACACACACACACCCCAACACACACAAACACAAACACACACAGCTGTCTCCTCCTGAGTTAACCAAGGGAAGCCCCTGCTCTGCTTCTTTGTGATTAGAAAACCTTTACATGTAAAAAAGAAATCTCTCTAGATTATGTTGGAGGCATGGGATGTTATGTTGTATTGTCTGCATTGTCCCAGTTCTGAATGTCAAGAATTGAGATCCAGGTATTACCAATAAGAATTAACTGCACACAATGTAGGAGTTCTTAATACTCAGCTTACCTTATTATAAAGAAAGGAAACATTTGGAAACAACCTGACTCTCCACTCTATGGCTTTTGATGTAACAGTTACTTCTAGCAAGTCTATACTGCAGCGAGGCACTTCAACTTTGTTCTTAGTTCAATAAAGTCAACAGTGTTAAGTCGTAATATACAAATGGCTAAATATTTACTTTGGTTTAATGTATGATGGCTTTTTTTACACCCTCGGCAATGTGTGTCATTTTTAAGACCTCACAGATTCGAGAGGATGTCAAATATTCAAACATGATGTTTGCTGAATGTTATCCTGACAACATCTCTACTGTTCATTCATCTCTCTCCAAAACAACAAGGAAGTCTGTCTGTCTGTGTGTGTGTGTGTGTATGTGTGTGTGTGTGTGTGTGTGTGTGTGTGTGTGTGTGTGTGTGTGTGTGTGTGTGTGTGTGTGTGTGTGTGTGTGTTTTGAATCTCTATTGTAACCATTTTTGTGAATTTCCCATCATGATGTTTATTATCCTGTTTAAAATAAACAAACAGGAAGTGAGACAGAATAGCAGGAATGGGACATCCTGTAAGGTGAGAGGCACATTATGTACCTCCAACCAGTCAGAGACTAGAGCTGCTGCAGTGAGGTCACTTCCTGTCAGCTCAATGCCTTCAGAGGGAAACTCTGAAATCTGCACATGGTTTCCATTCAGAACAAAACTTCTTTCTTTAGTGTGTGTCCCTTTCGCCAATGTAGAAGACAACGAAAGGCTTTGGTTTCTGAGGACTGAAGCAAAACACACACACACACACACACACACACACACACACACACACACACACACACACACACACACACACACACACACACACACACACACAGAGTTTCCTGTATTTATGCAAATGAAGGTTTTACCCCTTACCATTTTTAGAGACCTTGTTGATGAAAATGATGTTGTTGTTTTCGTCTTAGTTGCCAGTAGCGATGTTGACATCGGGGAGAAGTACAGCTGGTGATACTGGAGGCATCGCCACAGCAACACAGCCCCACAATGCCTCTGGAGCAAAACATCTGTTCTGACCAGGGGCGAGAGACCTAGAAAATCAGACCGTCTCTTTTAGTAACAGGATGGATCAAATTGACACATGATTAGTTACTATTGACTCCTTTCAGGTTACCCATTGAGTACCAATCACACAGAGGGCTCTAGCCTGGTCTATTGGCATTTGGGGAGTGTCAGCTCATTTCAGTCTAGTTTATTAAATTGGCTATAATCTATACTATAAATGGGCAGGAAACTTTACTTCAGCTTAACAGTTTATTTGAAAGAACCGCTTCCAAAAGGATTAGGTTCTGCCTAATACTTAATATGTTCTGATCCTCTGCTACATTATAAACCATCGTGACTCTCCGGTATGTTTCAGTTCTGCTTTCTGTCCCCAGAGTTCAAAACTAAACATGCAGCAGCTCTCAGTTTGTAAGCTCCATATATCAAAAGAACAAATTCCCAGAAATCTGCAACTCAGTTCCTTAAAACACAGTTCTGTTTGTGCTGACTTTTCATTTAATCAAATAACAATTCTTGAATGATTTATTATAGTTACTTGAAATAGTTGTTTTAGAAATGCATCAGCATTCTTCGAAATGTTTGAAAGTCATGGAGAGGAACTAAAACATGTTTAGTTTTTATACTTATTTGACTAATTAAGCCTATTTTCCGAGTGGGGAATTCATTTTTCTGATGATCCTGAAGGCAGCACAACTGATGCACATGAAGGAAATCCAATATTAGAGCTTTGTAACACCTTTTTTATGACACTTCAAATACACGTTACAAGGTGCTCTACAAGAATTTAAAAAAAAGTTTTAAATACATACAGTAGCAACTGTCTGGTAGTATCATAAAACAAAAGGAGATGGGCTGCTATAAAACAAATACATAACAAATGTTAAAAAGCAGGACGGACAAAATAAAAACCACTGGAAATAGCTGAGCTCAAATCTTCACATCTGAAATATGAATTTAAATAAACATAACAGATTTATTTCCTTATTATTCTCTTGTATACATTTCATTCTCTCAAGGAACTTCTCCACTGCAGAGGAACGTATCAATACGCACTTCTGGAGAAACTAGTTCCAGCAAATCAGCTGAGTGATGAAGTCATGAGAGATCAGAGAGAAAACAGACAAACACGGAGGTCAGATGACAAATATGAATCAGGTCGTATACTGTTTGTGTTTGAATTCCATGTCTAATCAACGTTTAAATTCATCCTTCCTGTCCACAGTTCTCATGGTGGCCGTGGGAGAGACTGACTGACTGACTCACACAAACAAAAGTGGTTTTCAGTCGTATTTAAGGAGTTAAGAGAATGAGCAGTAAGTTCATGCAGTACCTAAAAAGAAATACTTATAACTTAAGTTCAACTTACTCAAACAAACGAATTACTTCCTCCTTTTCGATAAATAACAGATGATGAGATTTTTATAACAAATATAACTATACATAAGTAGGTTAAATAGTTAAACTCTACTTCTGCTGCTTCTACTTATACTGAGCAGGATATACAGTTACTATCTGCAACATCAAAATGATATGTATTAAAGCATCGGTAGTTATAATGCGGTACTTCAATTTTCACTATTGAAATTGGACATTCTATTGTACTTAACTTTTAGTCTACTTAATTTTATGATTTTGAGCGTAGGACTTCTACTCTTCCTATTTCAAAAACGTTTTATTGCAAGGATGTTTAAAGAGTTTTTATATATGAATTAAAGTTACTTATGATTACATTTGGACTACTTTTGTCATTAATAATGTTCCATGACTGCAGCAGGAGGCAAACTTAATTATTAAATCTGAGAGAAGCAGGACAGGAAACCGTTTTTTTTCCTCCAGCAGAAACAGAGAAATATACAGAACACGTGTTGTTGGTGTTTCAGCTCTATTGTTCTGTATGTCCCAGATCTGACAAAGCTAACTGTATTAATGAAGAGGAGGCTAACACACACACACACACACACACACACACACACACACACACACACACACAGACACACACACACACACACACACACACACACACACACACACACACACACACACAGTGCAGTGTTTGGTTGTTGGACAGCAGAATGGCGCTCTGTTGTCACATCTGCAGCTCTGTGCAGTTTCCCTCTTACGGAGTTGAAAGGTTATTCCACCACTGGGAGGTCAGAGGTCAAGGATCAACACAGCCACCCCTCCCTCTCGGACGTCTCACAGCTTAAACTTGAGTCTCGTCAAAGAGGTCTCGCTGCAGTTTATGACCTTCTTTGTTCTCCTCAGCAAACTCAGCAGTGGAATGTAATGAAGTACATTTACTCAAGTACTGTACTTAAGTAATATTCTGAAGTACTTGTACTTAAACCTAGTATATTCATTTTGTTGCTACTTTATACTTCTATTCTTACTGTACTAGTTCAGATTATTAGCAAATCAACTAATAATAAAACTTCAGGTCAAGATATCCAGCAGCAGTGTGCTTCAAACTAGTCCACCTTCACTTTAATTCATCAGTTAACATAATTCAGTAATTGAATGGGCCATTACGCTTAACAAGTACTATTACTTTTGGCACTTAAGTTTATTTTAATGGCAATACTTTTGCAGTTTTTTGAGTGTTTTTAGAGTTTAGTATATTTCTACTTTTACCTAAAAATATAATATGAGTAGGCTACTTCTCCCACCACTAAATATGACTTGTTATAAACTGTACTTAGTGCAGAGTTTAACCATGACAGACTCTGTTCCAACTTAAATATACAGACGATACAGGCCTGTGGTTTCAAAAACAGATGTTCTTTCTTACAGCCAATGTCCGACTGAGTGCGTTCATCTCCACAATAAATCAGCTCATTTACACCATGTAGCCTGACCTGTTCTCCAGAGGCTTTAACGCTTTAAATATTGTGATGGCACGAGATGAGATACTGTCAGATAAATGTACTCCAAACACTCAATCTCATTTTCACACCTTATGCCTGTAAATGCAAATTAGAAAAAAACGAAACTACTTTGCAGACTTATAAACTGAATAAACTTTAAACAGTATATACATGTGCAAAGTAGTTCCGGTTTTAAAGTATCCTTTGTTATGATTTTACTGGTGGTAGTTTGGTCTATTATAATGTATTCTAAGTTATGTTTTTATATTTAATATTGACTAATCTATAGATACATGATGGATATTAAGCTTTCTAGTGTTGTGTGTGTATATGTATTTATTTATTGATATTGATAGCATAATTATTTCCCAATTTACAATCAATGTATGTATGTATCTATGTATGTGTGTATCTATCTATCTATCTATCTATCTATCTGATAAGATAATCCTTTATTTTCCCACAGAGGTGACATTTGCAGTGTAAAAGGAGCAAGTAAATGGATAGCAGTGAGCATGAAAAAGGCAAAACAATTATGGGAAACCATTTTCAAATCCATGTAGAGCTGAGTGGAAAGTCTGTTGATAATTCCCTGTAGGTTTGTCACTCCGAGCGGCCCCGTTAACATTACTCATTTTATCCATCTGATCTCAGTGTTTCTTACTCATTCTCACTGACTCACTCGCTTTCTCAGCTGGTTCAAGTTATAGAGGAGCAAACGAGCCAGGTTAAAGGCTCTGAGCTAAAAATAGCTACTTGTAATCTTGACTGAGTTTAGTCACACTAAACAAATTCACAAAGACAATAAAAAGATGCAGGAAAGGATTGTGCATAAACACATCAAGATAATCAGATGTTGTTTTATCTGTAGGCACAGTGCTTCTGCTGCCAAGGAACTGGATGAGAACTCTTCTAATGTTGGTTCACACATCAAGAACTCTTCAGCCCAAAAATAATCTTTTGTGTTTTAATTGAGAAGAAATCTCTGTTGCATCCCAACACAATCATCCAGCACTTACGTGTGTTGTTAGCTGTTGGCATCAGACAGACAGTCATCCTCGCCATCATGATCAACATGCGAGACAACATCACTATCTCAAGTCTCAGGGGTGTTTCACAGTTTGGATTGCAGCCACTGATAGCACCATGAATTGAAAATCACTTGCACCAGCTATCTGCCCCGTCCCCAGGGCAGATTCACAAAAAGATAAAGCAGAAATGAAATTACAGAGCAAAAAGCCTAACTACTATCTGTCAGCATATGTGTCTCCGATCTGAGGTGAACACAGTGTTTCCATATTACTGTCTGTAAACGCCTTTAAGATGTACACTACCTTAAGGCCGACATTTTTGTTAAAGTGCTTGCTGTTATAAAATGTTTTGGTTTCGAAACATCTATGACATAAATGCTTTAATACATATATCCTGCTTTGTGATACCTTTTGGTGCAAAACCCTGTTGCTTTTAAAAGTGCTTTATAGATAAAATCAACTTGAAAATTGGGTCATTAAACAAATATTGTCTGATTTTGATGAATTGGAGCCTCTTTACTAAAGGACATCTTTGTCTTTCCTCACAGGAATACAGATCTGCAGGGGTGTGTATCTGAAAGAAAAGAATAGTACAGGACAAAAACAGTGTGTGTGTGTGTGTGTGTGTGTGTGTGTGTGTGTGTGTGTGTGTGTGTGTGTGTGTGTGTGTGTATACATGTTGTACCAGTGGGACTGTATAAAACAATGCAGTATCATAATAACTGAACCACATATTTATCACCTGCAGTGTCAAACTACTCTGTGTGTGTGTGTGTGTGTGTGTGTGTGTGTGTGTGTGTGTGTGTGTGTGTGTGTGTGTGTGTGTGTGTGTGCGTGTGTGTGTGTGCTCATTAATCACTGCAGTGTTGTTCCTCCAGTGGGACGCTGTGATCTCAGGAGGGGAACCATCTGTTGCTCAACACCTTTTCTTCTTCTGTGGTGAGAAGAAACACCCAGAAGTTTGAGCTGAACTCATTAGGCATCAGTGATGACAACACACCAAAAAATATCATCCTATTTAAAGAGTGAGAGACAAGTTGAATTATCACTAAATAAACCATGAGAATCCCATTTCAACCTGTCTCTACTGTGTAATTCA